AATTAGACCCAGATAATTATGCCCGATAACAGGTGTTTGTACTACATATTTATGTACATACATACTATACTACCCTGCCCACCTTCAGTTCATACACTTCACTTTTTTAGTTTATACAATTCTGCAGCAATAATATTTCAAAGTGAATAATGCCTGGTTTTCACTATGTCAAATTCAGTGGCATTTGTCATCAAGTAAGTGAAAACACATTTAGGGGATTCACAAGACGTGTTAACGTCGTAAAATTTTAAGCCTATTTTTTTTTTATATATAAAATTACCGTTAAAATGCTTTTAGAGGATTTATAACTACACCGAAATGTTTTTAATTCGATAAAAATATATAATTAGCCCCCCTAAAACCATTTTAACTGTTATTTTACATAAAAAAAATGTTAAGCTTAAGATTTTACGACGGTTAACACGTCTTGTGAATCCCCTAATTGTCTAATGAAACTAAAAACCGGTTTATCGATTGACTGGCTATCTGTCTGTTTTTGGCCCATAATATCTAAAGGTATGGGAAAATGAGATGAAGTGGTGTCAAAAATATGTTGACAAAATTTGTTGTCAAATGTTCGGACATAGTGAAAACCAGTCTTAAAGTAAAGGTGGGCAGGGACCTACATGCATATGTATGCACGTATTTTAGTAAGTGCTTACAAGTTTATATTTGGTGGTTTAAGCGTCATACTCTCCAATCTGAATTTGATTTCTAACTATTTAGCTTGCATGACTTTGCGTGAGATATTCGAATATTTTTGATGTGTGTTTTTTTTTTAAGATTCAATTATCTACCGGATGTGCAAAATACTTAGGTCCTGTTTATCAATGTCTGGTTATCACTACCTCCCAGTGAAACATCATTATCGACGTTTTCAACATCATTTATAAAATATGTGATCGATAAAGTCGTCATTGTGTTCAATCGGAGCTTCTACCTACGATTTGTGTTAACCAGACATTGAAAAACCGGCCCAATTCCATGATTTTTATATGAACGTATTAAATTAAGGTCCGGTTACTCAATGTTTGGATATTACTAATCACAGGTTAAACACAGTTACCGACGTTATCGACTCCCTATTTGCTTATTTGCTATGGGGTCGATAACGATGTTTAAACTACAGTTAGTGTTAACTAAACATTAATTAACCGGCCCTAACAGTTCTCACGACGTTTTTGTTCGTGAGAGACCTAACTACATTGTATATGTATGTACAATGTACGTTGTACATAAGTATGTAAGTATAAATACCTAAAACCACAATTCTGTAATATCCCAAGTCCATACAAACTATGAAACCCAGCAAAACCGCTTTTTTAATAAACATGAGTTCAGTCTGCTACAGTATCCGGACCTTAGAGTTTCGAGTGCATCCTGTGGTAGTTGAAACGTCGTTTATGGTTAGTCGGTACATCTTCGCGTCTACTGATGTATGTCTGGATCTGGCCCAAGAGCATGTAGGAATGCCTTGCTGAACTTGCTTGCTTAGTATTAAAATGTGCTCCTTACCTAGGACCATTGGGGCTTCACTCTGCAGATGGTGTTAGGGGGACATCAAAAGGCATTTCCCATTCAGCGGGTTCTAAGCGACGGAATGTCTTGTGTTTTTCCCGAACAAGAGCTGTTTTTTCGGCCATTTAACCCTGCGTGGAGCGGTTATCCCTACCAATCGTCAGCAAGCAAGTCCTGAATATTAAATTTGTAGCTAAGTTAGAAAGCAACTTTCATAAAGAATGTATCCGTTATTAATTGGAGTTGATTGATTTCAAAAGAATGCCACAAAAATATGCTCTTTGGATGGCGCTTTACTCGAAATATTTGGCACACCTATTTATTTTAAATATGGCACGTAATATGGCGTAAAGGTGGAGGTAAATGTTATTAAACTTCCGGAACCTACACATATTCTATCTTTAAAACAATAGAAATCGAGAGTGTATTTATGTAGTTATAGGGGGATGCCATATGATTTCATATTAAATACATTTAGGATCTCTAATAAAATATTTGGAGGTAGTTGTTGCAGCGCCATCCCATGCAACGGAAAGTTGTTTAGACTTTGGGTATCAGCCGGAGCGAACAGCCTTCAGGCCACAATCCAGAAAACTCATTTTCAAAGTGTTTCGTTGTCGGAATATGGTATAAATTTTATTAGAAAGGTTAAAATCAGGTTAAAATTAAATTAGTGTTAAATTTTTTTTATTAAACTAAAAAAAAATTGTTTATACAACGCAAAAAACATCAAATCAATTAAATATATCTAATCTATTAAATCTTAACTTCATTATGCTAAACTTTTTCATATACATTCGTCGTGTTTGTCAGTACTTAATGAGCTTAAAAGATATTAAATTATTTATTTGTTGCCATTAAAAGTAGATATGTGTGAGTTTCGT